TATTTAAAACTAAATTTGCTACTCGTTAGTCTTCCAATAAAGTACAATATTAGGGAAAATATCATTATAAATAAAGCATTAGCTCACCTTCCTTTTCCAAACTCTACAGCTGTCTTAAGGTGTTAGGGGCAATAACAAAACTGAGAAGATTCTGTCTAGGACACAGTGAGTGACCTATTTTAGATTTTGATTTATCTAAAGAAGTACTATACATCTTTTCATGAATCTCTTGTTGACTTACCACAGTGCTTATCCAAGCACACTTAATTCCTTAAACCCCCTATTTTCAGAAGTCGGCACTTCCCCTACTTCACTAAGCAAGTTGCTGCTGTTGTTGTTGTTAAGTGCTATCCTTAATTACCACCCATAGCAACCCTGTATAGGGTTTCCAAGGAGTGGCTGGTAAGTTTGAACTGCCAACCTTGCAGATCAAATCAACTTTGCAATCTAACACATTAACCCACAGTGACACACCAGGATTCCATAGGCCATCCAATATCCTAAATTTCTCTTTTCTGTAGCTAAGAATATTCAACTTTACCCCTATTTTTTAGTAAGTAGCAATCCCGACTCCAACTGGCAACTAGTCAGTCCTACGCGTCCCTCCATTTAGCAGGCCTTATCAGCTCCAATATCTCTCCAAGTCTTAAACTGCATCAATTATCTCCTCTATTCCTTCAATTATTCTATTTCTTTACCCTTTTACCTCTAAAAACAAGATGAGGAATCTCCTGCCCTGCAGGAACTTTTCTACTGCTATCATGTCTTTACATTGCTCCCTACTTAATTCCTTGATAGCATTAAATGTGATTCTTAACCAATCTAATTATTTATCCTATCAGATTCTGCTGCCTTCTCATTTTCCAGCTCTAACAATTCTAGCAGCATGCTCTTCTCCAGGATGCACCTTCATGCTGCTCTTTCTATTTCTATGTGTGAGTTTTGTTTTTTTTAACTCTTTTTAACTTTTTTTATTTTGAAAGAGGGTCTTTCCACTCCTTATATTTCTATGGTTGAAAGTCTTGTCTGTCTTTAAAATTCTTTTATGGTACCATGATTCTTTATAGATACAGTCTTAAGTCTAGCTCAAACCTCTACTAATGAGACAACTGTTTTTATCCATTATCAAAACTCAAAAGTTCAGAATCACCTTAGATCATTCTCCCTTACACCAATCCAAGAACACTACCACAGAGTGAATTCTGACTCACAACATTCTCCCTTGTAGTCAACAAGTCAATCGAGCAAATATTTACTGAGTACTCCAAGCACTGGCAATAAAGTAGGAACAAAAGAGACATAATCACTTTCTCCTGAAACTTAAAAGTCTAGCAGAAAAGCCATAAATAAATAATAAAACACTTTTAATAGATAACTAATTACTTGTGTACAAAAGTGAATGATCTATTGCCATAAATCTAATTTTAGCATTAACTCTTAAATCATTTTCTTTTCATCCCCACTGCCAGCATTCTAACTGACGCTAACATTTGATATTCTAACCTTTCCTCTACTATATTCCAAAGCAGGCTCTAGATTGACTGTTTCCCCAGCATTATATTTTGTTGTTGCTATTAAGTGACATTGAGTCAGCTCCCCTGCTTAAGATAACCAAGGCTGTACAGCCTTGCAGGAACAGAAAGCCTTATCATTCTCTCATGGAACAGCTGGTGGGCTCAAAGCACCTTGCAGCTCACATTCCAGTGCAGATTCTACAAAGCCACTGTACACTCAGCATTAAATTTTACTGCCTGTTTTGTTTATGTTGCTATTATGTTTGCGATACCAAAAGCTAACTATCACATTATATGCTATGTCAAGGCCTATCTCAAATCTAATATTCAAGAAAGCACATTTCCTGTCTTTCTTAAATTTGTATCTATATGACATAAGAAATAAGACATGCACACAGTAGTCATTCATATGAACATTAAATAAATTGGAAGTATCACAAAATACACCTCACCTTTAAGTGTCTGCATCATTTCTAGAAGTACAGGAGTAAGAGTTTGATTATATTCATGGAATATATCTATAAACAGTACTTCAGTACAAGGCTGGAAAGAAAAAAAAAAGATAAAGTCCTAATAAAAACAAAAGGTTATTGTGCTGAATAATTCTAAAATAAAACAAAGACTTGCTGCTGCTGTTGTTAAGTGCCATCGAGTCGGAACTCGCTTCCAACTCACAGCCACCCTGTATAAGGTTTCTGAAGTTTTCAATCTATATAGGAGCAGAAAGCTTCATCTTTCTCGCACAGGGCAACTGGTAGGATCAAACTACGTACTTTGTGGTTCGCAGTCCAGTGCTTACTGCATGCGGTCATGCGCATCCTTAAAATACCAAATTTTAAAAAAATATTTCCAATTCTTAATTGGTTTTAGATCTTCATAAATGGATCACTACCTTTCAAACAGAATTGTACAAGTGGGGAAAGACATTTTCATAATTTAATTGAAAGCATAAAGTTTATTTTACTACTTCAATCGTGTCACTACACATTCAAAAATTTAAAATACAGAAGACAAGCATTTTCATTTTAAATGAAGTATGCTATAAACTAAGGAGCTCTGGTAGCGTAGTGGTTACAAATTGGGCTGCGAACCTTAAGGTCAGCAGTTCGACCAGCCACTCCGCGGGAGAAAGATGAGGCTTTCTACTCCTGTAAAGATTTACACCCTCGAAAACCCTGTACAGGGTCGCTATGGGTCGGAACCGACTCGACGGCACTTAACAACAACAAATGCTATAAACTAAGCATTTTGGAGTTCCATTAGTTTATTGCTTTAGTACTATGATGACTGACCAGTAATATATAAAATTTATATATTTTCTTAGTAACAACATAACAACAACTACTAATGAATTTAATTCATGAGCTGAATTAGTATTCTTGTAATAGACACAAAGTAGTTACAGGGTTAAAGAACTTAATCACTAAATATTTCATAATATAAAGAAATTATCATTAAAACGTTAAGGCACTGCATTACACTTGAAAATAAATCTTACAGATATGCATACTGAATGTGTACATATGAAATATACGTAATTTCAGGGATTTATCTCTAAATAACCCAAATTTTAAGGGAGGAGTGCCATATATATAAAACAAGACTATTAGTCAGGAGTTAATGAATGATAAACTAAGCTTTGGATACAGAAGAGGCATGGTATTAGTCTATTTTTTAATATTTTAAGAATTTTCCATAAAAGAAAATTTTTAATAATTAAAATAGCAAATTAAAAGAAAATGTTAAAGCACTAATAATTTATTGGATTTACAACTCGTTTTCTAGTCACGCTTATAAATCTAAAAACAGTACCGTTGTTGTTAAGTGCCATCGAGTCAATTCTGACTCATAACGACCCTGGCACAGGGTTTCCAAGAAACAGCTGGTGGGTTTGAATCATGGACCTTGCTGTTAGCAGTCCAGTGCTTACCATACAGAGAAACACCAGAACCCCAAAATATAAACAAAAAAGCACCATCTCTTTTGACAGATGTAATCAATTTGAATTCTGTGTATTCCATCTGGTGAGGTCCATGAATATAGTCGTCTTTTACATTGTTTTTAAAAAGATATTTTCAATGAGTAAGTCATTGGTCTTGCAAAGTTCTATCATGCAATCTCCAGCATCATTTTTATCACAATGACCTTTTTTTCCAACTACTGATCCTTCCTCTGTTTCCAACCTTTGCATTCCAATTACCAATAATTATCAAGGCATCTTGACTACATGTTTGATCAATTTCAGACTGAAGAAGTTGGTGGAATTCTTCAGTTTCATCATCACTGGCTTTAGTGGTTGATATGCAAATTTGATTAATAGTGGTATTGACTGGTCTTCCTTGGAGGCAAACGGATAATATTCTATCACAGACAGCGTTGTACTTCAAGACAAATCTTGAAATGTTCTTTTTGATGATGAATGCAATGCCATTCCTCTTCTATTTGTCATTCCAGGCATAGTAAGCCAAGTGATTGCCAGATTCAAAAGGGCCATTTCAGCTCACTAATGACTAGGATATCGATGTCTATGCATTTCATTTCATTCCTGACAACTTCCAATTTTCCTAGATTCATACTTCGAACATTCCATGTTATTATTATTAGTGGATATTTACAGCTGTTTCTCTTCATTTTGAGTTGTACCCCATCAGCAAATGAAGGTCCCGAGTGCCTTACTCAATTCTTGTGATCACGGTCAACTCTACTTTGAGGAGGCAGCTCTTCCCTAGTTGCATTTTGAGTGCCTTCTAACCTGAGAGGCTCATCTTCTGGCACTGTATCTGACAATATTCTGGTGTTCTTCACAATGTTTCAATAGCCAGCCAATACTCTGGTATCATCTGACAGTGTTCCACTGCTATTTATAAGGTTTTCAGTGACTAAATACTAGGAAGTAGTCCATCTCTCCTTCCTAGTCTGTCTTAGTCTGGAAGCTCAGCTGAAACTTGTCCACCATGGGTGACCCTGCTAATATTTAAAACATCAGTAGCACAGCATCCAGAATCTCAGCAACATGCAAGCTATCACAGGACGACAAACTGACAGATGAGTGGTGCCACTGCTAGATACACACCCATTCATTTGAAAGCAGGAACACAAATACTTGAGCATCAATGTTCACTACAGAATTATTCACAATGGCCAAAGGGTGAAAAGAACCCAAGCATTCACAAACAAACATATCAATAAAGAAAATAGTAAATATACAGAATATTAATCAGCCATAAAGAGAAATAAAGTTCTGATACACACTATGACATGGATGGACCCTGAAAATATTATGCTAAGTGAAATTAGTCACACACAATAAATAGGACACATATTACATGAGCCCACTTCTATGAAATATCCAAAGTAGGCAAATGCATAGAGAATGCAAGGTCAGCAGTTCAAGCTCACCAGCCACTCCTCGGACACCCTATACATGATCACTATGAATCAGAAAAAACTTGATGGTAGTGGGTTTTGAGAGTGAGAATCTGTCTGAAAAGGAGATCTGGAAGCATTATAGGATAAGTACCAGACTGTTAACCACAAGGTCAGTAGTTCGAACCCATCAGCAGTCCCATCGGTGAAAGATGAAGTTGTCTGAACCAGTAAAGGTTTAGTTCTGGAAACCCTATGGGGTACCATGAGTCAAAATCAACTTGATGGCAGCCAGATCTGTCTAAAATGCTTGGAATCTTCAACAGAATATCATTCTCTACTAAGACATATGGTACCTTAAAACTTCCCTGGTCAATTTTTTCATTCAATTTAATACTTACCCTCAAACTATATTTCCAAGAATCTCCTCCTGTTTCTTCCACTACTGCAATTAAAAATATGACAAATAACATCCCTCAGAAAAGCAATAATGACTAATTTCAAAATCTCAGTTTGAGATGCAAAGATTTCGGGCACATCAGACAAATATTTATGTGAATTGTTTTAAACGTAGTATTGAAAGCAAACTTTCAGAACACAATGCCTTAGCAATATAATACACAAAGTATCTCACAGGAACTTATGATGGGCATTTTTACATTCATAAACATTCTCACTTTCATTAAGAATTCTTTATGGGCAAACCTCAAACTACTTTACCATTTCCAAAGTATTTGATATGACATGGTAAACTATCTCTACACCCATTCCTCATTTATTGTCATGGTTAGGTTTCAGAGACCTGATCACTATATGAAAATTGGCATTATGCAGAAATGGTGGGTGACAACATCAGATCACAAAATGGAAACTGAGCACATCATTAACTGGCAAATTACCTCATTACATGAATACCAAACCACTGAGAATCATGGCCCAGCCAACCCAACACCTCAGCATTCATTACCAAGAGACCTACGTCATTAATGCACAAAATAGTCATATGGTACAGTTCTTATTATTGTCATAGATGCAAAATGACAGATAGTATATGAGTAGGTATAAAGTGCAGAGAATCACTGCATTTTCAATACATGATAGTATATGAGTAGGTATAAAGTGCAGAGAATCACTGCATTTTCAATACAATAATCATGTTTCAGAAATTAAAATGATTAGTCACATTCTATCAATTTTACATTTAATAGAAAACAGTTTCAAGACTTTTTAAAAATTAGGTGATTTTAAAAAAATCAGACTTTTAAAAAAATCAATGCTTCATGTTACAATATTATATATAGTGTATAAGGAAAGCAATAACATAAGATTTTAACTAAAAGAGACAGAAAAAAAAGATGCAATGTGAAATGAAATGATTTATCTTCTAAATGATTTTAAATTAGTTTTAAATGATCAAAAGAGGTAGGTAAATTGTCCATTAAGTTTGAGACCTTATTAAATTAAAAGTAAAGATGTGTGTCACCACTAGGTCATCAAGCCAAAGGAAAGAATAGAGGCTAAATTATAACCTATGTCTCACCACAGTCAGAGGAATTTACACAGGCATTTAATTTGGCAAATGACCCCTTGATTTTCTATAGCACGAGATATAAATTTTTATTTTAAAATACATGATACTGTTGTTAGTGTATATTAAAATTATAATATCTCTATAGACAAAATTCTGCATTATGTTTGAAAAAGTCATTCGTTTTCTGTTTTTGTTATTGTTTTTTACTTTTTCTAACAGGTAACAAAGAGAGGATAAGCTAGTTAGAGAAAGCCAGTGCTCTAGGATCAAATGTGCTATATTAAAGCACAGTGTTATCCTACTTGTCAGTCAAACAGATGGTATCTATTTATGGATCAAGAGAAAAGCAATGCTAAATCTGAAAAAAATAACTCTTACTAAAGCCTTCTGGATCTTCTTCCCACATTGTCAATTCTTCTTCAGTTAGTAGAAAATAATGAGAGACCAATCTCCTGCAAATTTCTGTCAAAGTAGGATATGTGAAAAACGCCATCTTAATCTTATGAGCTTTTAGAGTTTCAGGGCTACTATCTAGAAAAATAAAATTTCAAAGTTAAATGTACAGTCAAACAGTCTATCTAAGTACAATCACGTAACAAATAAAATAATATATTCTACTAAGGAAAGACACACTTATGTATAAATTTTCATTTTTATTATAAACCAATCTCAAAGACACGCGATCCTTTATGCCTACTACACCCATACGAGTGTTGTCTTAATCTTATCACTATAGATTGTGTATTACCAAGCTTTATTATCACTCTATTAGAGTAATTTGCTCAGTTGTTTGCCGCCTCCTCTCTTGCTTTCAAGAATCAAACTTTCATCTTTGTATATATACACATATGAAGAACATGAAAAAGAAATAATTTTCATATAAACTCAGAGAAACCTTTTAATTGTTCATATCAATACAACATGAGTTGCAGTAGTTACTATAGTACTTAATTCATAAAGTTTCTAAACTTTAACTGATCTTTCTCTAGTGTCCTAAAATAGACAAGTTGTTAAACGCCTTGTATAGATTTTAAAAGCTGGCATTCATACAATATTCTAATCATCAGCTCTATTTAATGTCCCAAAGACATTGTATTTTTCCAATTAAAAAGAGTAAATACTGCCCTTCCCAAAAAAACAAAAAAACATAGAAATAGAAATTGTTTGACATTTAGATTAAAATAATGGAGAAAAAAAAAATTATCAGTAAAGCATTACCTTCAAAATTTTTTGATGGCTTATAAGCGTAATTTTTGACAATCATCTTAATAAGATTCATACATTGGACAATGAATCGTTCAAATGTAACCCCATCACCAACTTCTGTAAAAACATAGCTTACAGAAAATTCTAGTGATCTCTGAATTAAAGGAGTAAATGAAAAGGGATGCTGATCTAGGAAGTCCAAAAGCTATAAAAAGAAAGAAAAAATGTTTTTCTTAATTTTATATAGGAATACAATAATTTCATAAATATATCCTATAGCCTTGCTAATATTTAACAGTTTTTAATATATGTAACTTTATATGTAATACAGCATTTCATAGGTGACATCACACTCAAAAAAGTCAAAAAGTATTGTCAAAATACATACATTTCTTTCTACTCCAGCTATTCTAAGACAATTTTTAAAAATCTAAGCACTGGTACTGAATTTTATTGAAAGAATGTTTTATTTGCAGTTTTGATTTAATAATGTCATTAGCTATTAATTGTTTAAGTCTTTGCAGTTGATACATTTTTGAATTCTGGAAATAAATTATACTTGATTATTACTTTTGTACCTTGTTAGATTCAATGTGCCAATTTGTCATGCAGGGTTTTTTTATCTGTACTTTTAAGTGTAAGAAGATCCTATAATATTTTTTATCATATTCAGTGATGTATTTATGACACATTTAGAAAATATAGAGAATGACATTTGTGTTTCACTCTATTCTCTGAAATAGAAAATATTTTGTAATAAATATAGATGGCTTATAGTTCAAACGAGGTTAAGTTAAAAGTACTGCTATTAGGCTTTCTGTTAATACATGCACAGCCTGATTCCAAACAAAATATGTTTAAACACGTCGCTCTGATCAGTGGATGTGGCTGTAGACAAGTATGATCAGTAAAATATACCTGACCTTAGGATACCTTCAAAAAAAAAAAAGGTTCAATTAAAACAGTGGCTTTTGAAGCACCTGCTAGGCCAGTCAAAACTCAAGGCAGCAAGAGGTCAGCTCAAGATTTTGTTTCTGTGTTGCAACAGCGCTAGTTAGAAAGAACTCAACTTGGAAAATTTAAAGAGCAAAGTATATTGCCGGTGGCCAGAGTGTCAGCTCAAGCCCAAATCACTCTGACCCTGAAGTGAGGTGGGGAACAGGGTTTTATACAAGAAACAGCGGTTAGAACACACAGACTTGTCTTTTCAGCTAGGGTGGTAAATTCTAGCAGGCCTTTATCCTGGAAGTGGGAGTAAACCCACCAATAAACCCTTTGTATGGATGGGCTAAATTTTATCTTGTTTTTTCCTTAGGTCCTTAGGTCATTCTGCCTTCAAGGTTTTTCTGTAAGAAGTTTATTTATTATTTTTCCATAGGGTGAGGTGGGGGTGGGGGGACAGGGTGAGATGGGGCTGAAAGGACATAGCAGATACCTAGAGGGCTGTTAGTCATGCTACATCTGTTTTTTGGGAATCCAAAGGGGTAACCTGACAGATTTTTTTCAAAGGACACAGGACAATCACAGTGGCTTTACTATAATAATGAAGTTTTCAGAAAAATGAAAACTGCATTGGTGAAAAAAAAGTCAGGAAAGTTTCACCAAAGAGTATTTTTCCATCACAACAAGGCACTTGTGCTCATCCTTCAAGGGTAGCAATGGCTGTCCCACGAGCAGTCTATCCTACAGCCCGAATCTTACCAATTCATACTTCTTTTTTGCTCTCAAAACTCAAGAAACATTGAAAAGGAACATAATTTGAGTCCCTCGAGGAGATACCAAAACAGCTGTTTTGGTGTAGTGAAAATTGAAGAATGTATCATTCTTCAAGGAAAGGTTAGAAAAGGAAACACCACCTTCAGAAGTGTACAGACCTAGATGGAGGATGTCAAGAAACATTAGCTTCATATTTTGATATTTTTACTCAATAAGTGTTTCTATGATTTTGAAGGAATACTTTTTAACCTATCATTATTTGAGAAAACCCAATTAAGAAAAAAAGAAAACTTACAACTTTAGTAAAAAGAATGATGGTCTTTTCCAGTCTATCTCGACATACATTATTTGTACCTATACTTCTACCTGTTAAAAACACATATCAAATATTAGTACAAATATATAACCTTAGAAGTATGACAATCTAAAACTTTCTTCAAAAATAATATTTTCATATGTACTTTTGTAAATTTTGTATCATGAATTCAATAGTGTTCATTCTCAGTTCGAAACAAATAAATCATAAAAATAAACTTTAAAAAAAAGAATACCAAGATATGCACAGTTATCCTCAATACTATATTTTGAAAAATTAATCCTAAAATATGAACTGAGACCATTTAAAAAATAATACACAGACCCAAGACACGTTTGTATATTTTATATATATACACACATGCCTCTGGGCAAAGACTTTGTGCCTTCTTCTGACCTTCAGGCAGAAAAAAATCCCTATTACAAAGGTGCTTATAATCATATGAAAGGGGAGGATAAGAAGACTACAAGCATAATCCAAGACAAATATAAATGCTAAACACTCTCAATCTATCCTAAGGAGGCTATAGAAGTCCTAGAAATGGAAAAGCAATGAGGCAGGAAGCACACAATAAAAGTGAATGTCACCTGGGCTCAGACACAAAGACATTTGAGAAAAGCCAAAGCACATGAGTGAAGCACAGAAGCAAAATTTGGCAGAGAGAATATGTATGTCAATGAGAAGATTGACTTAAGGTATAGCATGGGGCTATTGTTGCTGTTAAGTGCTGTCAAGTCAGTTCTGACTCAGCAGTCCCTAGTCTAGGGTTTCCAAGGAGAAACCTGGTGGGTCTGAATGCCAACCTTGCACTTAGCAGTCCAGTCTGTTCTGACCCACAACAACCCTGTATAGGGTTTCCAAGGAGCAGCTGATGAGCTTGAACCACCGACCTTGCAATTCAAACCAACTTTGCAGTCCAGAGCATTAGCCCACTATAATGTGCCATAAAGGTAAGCCACTAAAGGTTAATGAATGAGAAATTTACAAAAGGAAACTTAAATCATAGTAATATATAAAATGAACTTAAGAAAAGTATGTATACATACATATATAAATACGTACATATAAATATAAACAGTATTTGGAGTTCTGGTGTGGTGTTGTATATTAATGCGCTGTACTGCAAAGTCAGGTTGAACTCCAAGGTCAGCAGTTCAAGCTCATGAGCCACTCCTCAGAAACCCTATGCAGAGTCCTAGGGGTCAGAAACTACTCGAAGGCACTAAACAACAAACTGTACTTGGCACAGAGTTTGCACTTAATGACTTTGTTAATGAGTTTCAGTTAAGACATGACTGTCTGCCTAAAACAGGGTGGTAAAAGCAGAAGTATAGAAAAAGGAATGGACATAAAATAGACTTAAAAAAAAAATAATAAAGCTTCCTTGGTACTCAAGACAATAAGACAGATATTGCTAAGATTCCAACTGAACTTCAGAGAATTCTCTAGATACCAGATACTAATTTTAATTACATGCAACTAATGAAGAAATGGAACTCAAGTATGGTGCTTTAGGACAAGCACTGGACTGCTGACCACAAGGTTTAAACGTACCAGTTACTACTTGGAAACCCTATGCAGGGTCACTATGAGTCAGAACCAATTCAACGGCACTTAACAACAACTAAGAAATACACTGCTAATAAAAATCTACTTTTATGTAAGTATACATCTTTTAACATCCACAATATGCTCAATAAAATGGGACTTTATGAGATTTGGATGCCATATGAATGCCAAAAAGCTCATGGAAAAAGGGAAGAAAACCGGAAGGAAATGAACTGTTAGAAACCACCAGGAATACAGGAAGGCTTCATACAATCTTAGTTTAATCCCCATAAAATCTATTATGTTAAAACCTTATGAGATACACAGAGTAGACAGGGATGGGCAACTTGGACATTGCCTACCCAAAATGGCGG